AAGTTGGATCTTCCCAAACCCAAGGAATTCAAGGGGGTACGAGATGCCAAGGAAGTTGAGAACTTCTTATGGCAAATGGAACGTTATGCTGACACCTTAGGGATGATTGATGATCAAACCAAGGTACGTACCGCAGCCTATTTCCTTACAGACAATGCCATGCTATGGTGGCGAAGGAAGCATGCAGACATGGACAAAGGGCTTTGCACAATCAATACTTGGGAGGACTTTAAGAAAGAGCTGAAGAGGCAATTCTATCCAGAAAATGTGGTCTACGAGGCACGGAAGAAATTGAGGGATCTCAAACATAAGACCACTATCTCTGACTATGTACGAGACTTCACTTCTTTAACACTTCAGATTCCTAATCTGAGTAGTGAAGAAGCTCTCTTCTATTTCATCGATGGTCTCCAAAACTGGGCCAAGCACGAGCTACAGAGGCGTGACGTGAAGACCGTTGATGAGGCAATTACAGTAGCCGAAAGTCTCACAGAGTACCATAAGGAAAAAGGTGAGCCCTCTAAACCCAAGTCTTCCAAACCTAATTTTGGAAAAGGTGGGGGAGACAAGGGCAAGGGGACATCCAAAGGGGGTGATAGCAGGTTCCTACAGAGGAAACAACTTGAAGGACAAAAGAAGACCTTCAAGGAACAGACAGGATGCTTTGTGTGCAAAGGCCCTCATCGAATGAGAGAATGTCCGAAGCTAGGTACGTTGGCAGCCATAATGGAGAAGGCTGAAGAAGAAGAGCCTGAAGCAGAGATGGGATCTCTACGACTCCTCAATGCTTTAAAGGTCAAACCCTTGCCAAAAATCCTAAAGGTGAGGGCTTGATGTACGTAGACGGGAAGTTGAATGGATCACCTGTTACCATAATGTGTGACACTGGAGCTACCCATAATTTTATCACTCCAGAAGAGGCCAAGAGAATAGGCCTCAAGGTGGTACAGGAGGGAGGAAGTTTGAAGGCAGTTAACTCACCTCCTAAGCAATTATGTGGCATAGCACAAGGAGTTGAACTATGTTTGGGGAACTGGAGTGGTAAGATAGACTTCTCCGTAGCTCCTATGGATGACTTCAAGGTCGTGCTGGGACTTAAGTTCTTCAGACAGGTAAACGCTTACCCCATGCCCTATTATAATTTACTTTGTATACTCGAGAAGGAAAACCCTTGCTTTGTGACTGCAAGAAGGGTGAGCGGTGGACACCAACTCTCGGCCTTGCAAGTCAAAAAGGGAATAAAAAAGGGAGAGGCTACGTACTTGGCAACACTGAAGGAGATTGACCCTGGGGACAAGGTCAAGGAAGAAGTCCCCCCATAATTGCCCATGTTCTGGTAGAGAACCAAGACATTATGCCTGCTGAGTTGCCCAAAAAGCTTCCACCACGTAGAGAAGTGGATCATGAGATCGAGTTGGAACCAGGAACTCGGCCACCAGCCATGGCGCCATATCGTATGGCACCACCTGAGTTGGAGGAATTGAGGAAGCAACTAAAGGAGTTAATCAACGCAGGTTTCATCCGACCATCAAAAGCACCTTTTGGGGCACCGGTCTTATTCCAAAAGAATCAGGATGGTTCTTTGCGCCTATGCATCGACTACCGGGCTCTCAATAAGGTAACTATTAAAAACAAATATCCTATTCCTTTGATAGCTGACTTGTTTGATCGCCTGGGAAAGGCAAAGTACTTCTCCAAATTGGATCTAAGGTCTGGGTACCATCAAGTTCGAATTGCCGAAGGAGATGAACCCAAGACCACCTGTGTGACACGATATGGGTCCTTCGAGTGGTTAGTTATGCCTTTTGGACTAACCAATGCACCAGCCACATTTTGCACTTTGATGAATAAGATCTTTCATCCTTATCTCGATCGGTTCGTGGTGGTGTACTTAGACGACATTGTTGTCTATAGCAACACACTGGAGGAACATGCTGAACACCTCCAGATTGTGTTCAAGACCCTTCGTGAAAATGAGCTTTATGTGAAGAAGGAAAAGTGCTCTTTTGCTATGGAGGAAGTCTCTTTCTTGGGACATGTCATCTCACATGGCTGCCTCAAGATAGATGAGAAAAAGGTACAAGCTATAAAGGAATGGGAGCCTCCAACATGTGTGGCTGAGCTGCGGTCCTTCCTGGGATTAGTAAACTATTATCGACGATTCATCAAAGGCTACTCGGCAAGAGCCGCCCCTCTCACAGAGTTGTTGAAGAAGAACAAATGTTAGACGTGGACGGAGGAGTGCCAACGAGCCTTTGAGGACTTGAAGGCGGCAGTCATGGAAGAACCGGTGTTGACACTTCCTGACTTCTCCAAAACTTTTGAGGTACATACTGATGCCTCTAACTTTGCTATAGGAGGTGTCCTAATGCAAGAGAGGCATCCTATTGCCTTTGAAAGTCGCAAGCTAAATGATACCGAGAAGCGATACACGGTCCAAGAAAAGGAGATGACGGCCATAATCCATTGCTTGCGTACTTGGAGGCATTACTTGCTAGGGGCAAAGTTTATCATCAAGACGGACAATGTGGCTACTAGTTACTTCCAGACTCAGAAGAAGTTGACGCCAAAGCAAGCAAGATGGCAAGACTTCTTGGCTGAGTTTGACTATGTGTTAGAGTATAAGCCAGGAGCAGCTAATGTTGTTGCTGATGCTCTAAGTAGAAAAGCAGAACTGGCAACCTTAACCCAAGTCAGTGGGGACTTGATCGAAAAGGTTAAGGAAGGAATGGCCCAGGATCCTATAGCCCTACAGCTAATGGAACTAGCAAAAGAGGGAAAGACTAAGAGATTCTGGGTGGACGATGACATCCTTTACACTCTGGGAAGGCGCATGTATGTCCCTAAATGGGCAAACCTAAGGAAGGAGCTGATCAAAGAGTGTCACGACTCTAAATGGGCAGGTCACCCCGGCCAGAGGCGAACTTTGGCTTTGTTAGAAGCAGCCTATTATTGGCCTCACATGAGGGAGGATGTAGAACATTATGTGAAGACTTGTCTTGTATGTCAACAAGACAAGGTAGACAACCAATTGCCTGGAGGACTGCTCGAACCCTTACCTACACCGAGCCAACCATGGGAAAGTGTTTCCTTAGACTTCATCCCAGCATTACCTAAGTCAGAAGGATTTGGATCCATCATGGTGGTAGTAGATCGATTCTCCAAATATGCAACTTTCATAGCTACCCCGACAGACTGCACGGCTGAGGAAGCGGCTTGGATGTTTTTCAAAAATGTGGTAAAGTATTGGGGCCTTCCTAGAATTATTGTCAGTGACAGAGATCCAAGGTTCACAGGAAAGCTGTGGACAGAACTATTCAAATTATTGGGGACAGAGCTACACTTCTCAACTAGCTTTCATCCTCAAACAGATGGGCAAACTGAGAGGGTGAATGCTTTGCTTGAGTGCTATTTGCGGCACTTTGTTAGCGCCAATCAAAAGGACTGGGCTAAGTTGCTTGATGTGGCTCAGTTCTCTTACAACTTACAAAGGAGCGAGGCGACAGGGAAGAGTCCATTTGAGATTGTGATGGGACAACAACCGATCACCCCACATGCCCTCGCAATCTCCTATAAAGGTAAGAGCCCTGGAGCTTTTAACATGGCTAAGTCTTGGCAGGAACGGGCAGATGAAACAAGATCATTCCTCGAGAAGGCTGCCAAGAAGATGAAGAAATTTGCAGACAAACGGAGGCGTGCAATAGAATTCCAAGTGGGAGACATGGTAATGGTGAAACTTCTCCCACAACAATTCAAAGCCTTCAGATCAGTACACAAGGGACTCATTCGCAAATATGAAGGTCCTTATAAGGTAATCAAGAAGGTAGGGAAAGTCTCATATAAATTGGATCTCCCTACTAATTTAAAGATTCATCCTGTCTTTCATGTTAGCATGTTGAAACCCTATCATGAAGATCAGGATGACCCGACGCGAGGAACATCATCACGTGCCCCACCAACCATCACTAAAGCATATGATCGAGGACTTGAAGAAATACTTAGCCACCGAGTTGTGCGGAAAAGAGGTGTGCCACCAGACACACAATACTTGATCAAGTGGAAGGGATTGCCAGAGAGTGAAGCAACATGGGAATCTCAAAGAGATCTTTGGCAATTTGAAGAACTACTTCGATCTTATAGAGATGATGCCGTGACGAGGACGTCACTCGAATAGGTGGGGGAGAATGTGACGAAGATAGAATTTTCATGAGGTTAAGATATTCTAGAAGTCTCCGGAACGATCCAGGACAATCAAGAACACCCCGGAGTCTTCTGGAATACGCCGGTATGTCCTCGAAAGACCTAGATATCTCTAGAGTAGTGTAGAAAACACTTGAAGCATCCAGACCATTCTAGAGATATCTTGCTCTTGTACATTCTAGTAGTCTCCTTGTAATTATCAAGATATTTCTTGTAGATATTTCTATAGAATTATCTAGAGATAGAATGTACACCGTTAGATCGAATCAATCCCAACCGTCCATTAAGGAGGTGGGAATTTTCTAGAGAAAGGGGGAGGCCTATAAATACCCCCTCACCCCTCATTTGTAACTTACTTAAGCTTAGTGGAAAAGCTCTCAAAGTTCATTTACTCAAGCTCTCTACTCTCTACTTGTGCATCTAGCTCTCTTAGCCTCCTTGCCTACTTGCGGGATTCGGCTGACTTAGCAAAGATCAAGAGAGGGATCAAGCTAAGGCCGGCACGGTTCAAGGGAAGGGAGTTCCAAGGCCGTGACACATGGCACCCTTTAGTCCATCGAGCTCCTCCTCTCTTTCTTCGTCGTGTTCACCATCTTTTTCAAGAGTCATGTTTTCACTCTATTTATCTTTATTTTTTGAATATAAAACAAAGAATATGCTTCTTGTTGTGGTGCAAGCTGTTCTTCATGGCTCAATCCCAATGCCTACATCTAACCTTAACCAACTCATCTCCAATTTATCCTCCTTTGACCTCCCCACCAAGGACTTGGTTGCTCTCTCTAGTATGTATTGTTCCTAATGTCGTCATGAATTTCCTCGTCAATTTCTTCTAACATTATAGGTGGCTATTCAATTGGACAAGCGAGGTGCACCGCTTTCAGAGTGCACATGTGCACAGAGCGCACTACTATATATACATTCAATTGGACAATCGAGGTGCACCGCTTTCGGAGTGCACATATACACGGAGCGCACTGCTATATATATATATATATATATAGGTCAACTCAACCTTGTGGAGGAGGCCGTTGGTAAAGGTGAGCATGGCTACTGGCTACATGAAAGGGAGTGTGAATTGGGCATGGCTGTGATGCTTGGCAAGCGTCATGACCTGCTTGACGGTGGTCACAGCACTGCTACCTGTTCTCTTCTTGGTAGAGATGGGAATAAGCCAGGTCTTATCAAGAGCTTACTCTCTGACTTACTTCAGGCTTAACATAACTTATTTACTAAATAAATTTAAGTTAAGTTTAAGTTTTTAATTAGGCCTATTTACTTAAATAGACTGGGCCTAATTTTTCAAAGCCTATCCTACAAGCTCAATAGTCCAACCTATATACACACACACATAATTATGTAATATATTATGCATATCAATTTTATAATTTAATTTTTAATTAATCTATTTGCTATTTCTAATTATGTTTTCAATTATATTGAACTTATATATTGATTTTAATATTATTACTTTATTATTTTATTGTATTGTAGTGATGAGTCTTTTTAATTATATATTATAATTGATAAATCATGTTATATATTTAATTTTAAAGTATATTTGAGATATTTAAAATTGAAATGTGAGGTAGAATGATACCCTGCCAAGATATAGACCCGGTTCGGTTTCCAACTGGCGCATATTCTTGTTTATTTTTGCATTTTTCAGCCAATCAGTTAGAAAAGCCTTGAGCCCGGAAGGGTGGCATCTACATTCCGGATGAAAGCGAAGTATAAAAAGCTTCGGGCAGTTGACCACCGCAAGGTGAGATTTAAAAAATTTCATGTGTTAAAGTGGTCTAAATCTTATTGAAAAAATTACAGTTAGGTCTTACATAAAAAAATTAATTACTACAAAGTTTATTAATAACTGAACAAAACTGCATTAACAACCGATTGTGTTATCAATATAGTTTAGTTCAACTGTTAATGGATCTTACAATAATTAATTTGCTTGTGTGAAACTTCAATATAATTCTCCTTAAAATAATTTTTGTTCAATATTAAATAAAATAATTTATAATTATCTTTTTATTTAATCAATAATACATGATAGAAATTATTGCATATATAATTTTTTTAAATATTAAATTTTATTATATATAAATATTTTATAAATAATAAAATTATTATTGTCTATATAAAATTAATAATTTTTTCTCTTCCTTATTTTTTTCTTGTTCAAACAAGCACAGTAGGAGAAAATTGTATTTCTCTATTTTTCTCTTCTCTTCATTTTATCTCCTTCATATTTTTCCTTACAAGCCAAATGCAGCATTAATCCAAATTGGAACGAATTAACGCTCATTATTTCCTTATGGGAAAAGATAGATAAAAAGAAGTTTTATTTTTCCTAAAATCTATCCATGGATACGACAATTTGTCATACCAATACCATCATTTAATGTTGCCTCTTCATAGGAACCGAGTTGAGCCTACAAGCTAGCTCGTTTAATTTGCCAAATTTAACGTGTTGGGTTAAAAAGATTAGTACATTTTTATAAAAATGGGCTAGGCCAGCCCAGCCTATAAAATTAGTGGGTTAAAATGGATTAACCTGTAGGTTAAATGGGTTAGTCTGCGGATTAACATATTTTTTTAAAAAATATATTTTTATTTTTTCAATCATAGTATATCTTCTTATAATATATAATAATAATAATATTTTATAAATATATAATTGATGACTTCCAAATATATTCTTTACATTTAAAAAATAATGTAAATTTTTCTTACATATTGCAAATGAAATTTTTGGTATAGTTTATAAATCCATGATTTATTAGTTTTTATAAAAATATTTTGAATATATATTATTTGTTGATCTCATAAGATCTATTGATTGAAATCACAAATATGAATTTTGTCACGCCCCAAAAATAGAGGGTAACCGGCATGGGTGTGAACCATTCTCACATTCTCGTAAGCCTCCAAGTGAACATTTATTTCATTCATTTTTTTAAGAAAAGAACAAAATTCAATCAAATCACATGGGAATTAAAATAATTTCTTTAAATTCATTATCATAAGAAAGTGTCGACGTTTTTTGTAAAAATTTTGGCAGAACTTTCCCTATAACTAGGATCTCTTGAAAATTCTACAACAAAATTTTTTACAAATAACAGTATAAGTCAGGAGCGTAGCTCCTTCCAGCCAACAACCAATATATATAGACAAAAATAAGATTCACCAACAACTTATGTGGAGCATCTACTCTTTCTTTTCAAATCAAAAAGACATACATATCATATATTTAAATTAAAGCAACAGTACCAATCAAAAAGATCCACCCACTGTCGCTAGTTGCCCTTTTAAGGTCGTTGGTGGAATCAGCATCAGCTAACCAATCTAAGGCCAAATAATTTTTTTCCAGTAAATAGCATTCCCATGATAAAATCTTTAAAATTTAAATTGACAATCTCTAATAATGGTGTCAAGAAAATTGAAAGTAATTTTACCAAAATTTATAAGCATGTAAGTCATAATCATATTTGTAAAATAAGAATAAATTAAAAATAATTTATGTTATCATGCTTAAAGAAAACGATCTGCTCTCATATAGCTCAAAGTGATACAAATTACTAGTAAAAATCAAGTAAAATTTGAAAACACATAATAATTAACATTTAAAAATTTGAAAACTTAACAGAACAGGTTACAAACGTGGACACTCAGTCCACAAGGGTAAATAACCAAACGCAGCTCAAGCCACGGAATCAAACGCAAGTACGAAGCCCACGAATAGCAAATATGAGAATAAAACTCACGAAACAAACTAGCTAGTGTTTAACCACAGCGCGCTACAGACTAACGGAACTGCCGTTAGTAGCATGTTCTGTATAGAGTTCTCTTATAAATCCCATTTCAAACATGCGAGAAAAATAATTATTTGTGAAGTCAAATTTTCATTCTCAAGATCTATGAAACTTATCAAATCGATACACCATAACGAATGTACAACTTGCGCTAATCATGTAATCAAGAGATTTTTAAAATTCAATAGGCAAGGGTGCCTTTATCAATATTAAAGATATATTTCTTGAAAAAATGCATGAATCATAATACGACTATTATTTATCATTAGTTCAAAATTTCTAAAACTAACATAATTCATAAAAATGAAATATTTTAATAAAAGATTTTCAATGAATACTCATAAGGAATGCTATTCACTTACCTGTTAAAGTTCTAAATTCCCGAAAGTATTCTTCTTTTAAGTCTTTTCAGGGTCTTGTTCTTCCATACACCCTTAAATGAATCAACATGCAGGGATAGAGGAAGGAGGATGATGATGAACATTGAAGAAAAACTAGATCTTTTATGCCCACGTGAACTAGAAGCTAAGAGAAAGAAAGACTTTTCATACTTGAATCAGCAGCAGAGGCAAACGAAGAGTAGTAACTCGAGAAGAAAATCACATTTGAGGCGAACGGATAAGCACAGCATCGACGATGGCTACACGAATGACGGTGCTGGCTTCGGGGGAGGAGGAAGAAGGCAGATTCAGTTGAGAGGCAGCGCAGAATGTCAGTGCTCTCAAAACTCTTTCTCTAGTCTAGATCCATCGAGAAAGAAGAAAGAAAGAGTTGAAAAAATCTGATGAAACCAATGGCAATTTAGTAATTTTGCATGACCAGAAAAATAAAAAAAAATTCAACTCTTCTTTTGTACTCTTCCGGATTCAAACTGGGGATCTGATATATGAAGTCTTCCTCAACTGCCACTAGACCAAGTCTCTAACTTGCTATATTTATCCCAAAAACTAATATAAACACACTTTAAGTAAGTTGCCCTATATATATATATATATATATTTATTTAGTTTAAATTTTGTTGGGGTTATTACATTCTTCCCCCTTTAGAAAATTCGGTCCTCTGAATTTAAAGTTGTGCTTACCTTAATCCACAAATAGGTGTGGATACTTAGCACGCATATCGGCTTTAATTTCCCATGTAGCTTCTTCTTGAGAATGATTACACCATAACACTTTCACCGAAGCGATTTCTTTCGACCGTAACTTCTTAACTTGTCGATCCAAGATAGCCACTGGAATTTCTTCATAAGATAAGTTTGGGGATATTTGAATCTCCTCAGTTTTAATTACATGAGAAGGACCATATAAGTATTTCTGTAGCATTGATACATGAAACACCGGATGAATACTCGACAGTTCAGGTGGTAATGCCAAACGATAAGCAACTGCACCAATTCTTTCTAAAATCTCAAATGGTCCCACATACCTTGGGCTCAGTTTACCTTTCTTGCCGAACCTCATTACCCCTTTCATAGGAGATACTTTAAGGAATACTTTATCCCTGGCCATGAATTCTAATTCTCGACATCGATTATCAACATAAGACTTCTGTTGACTTTGAGCTGTTATTAATCTTTCTCTAATTATTTTCACTTTCTCAATAGCATCTTGCACCAAATCTGGTCCCAAAAGTTTAGTATCGCTAACATCAAACCATCCAATAAGAGACATACATTGCCTGCCGTAAAGTGCTTCATATGGGGCCATTTGTATGCTAGATTGATAACTATTGTTATAAGCAAACTCTATCAAAGCTAAGTAACGGTCCCAACTGCCACTAAAGTCTAAAATACAAGATCTTAACATATCTTCAAGTATCTGAATGGTTCTCTCAGACTGGCCATCGGTTTACGGATGAAAAGCAGTACTGAGATCCAATCGAGTACCCAAAGCTTTTTGGATAGATCTCTAAAATCGAGAAGTAAATTGCGGACCTCTATCAAAAATTATGGATATTGGAATCCCATGCAGTTGCACAATCTCATCAATATACAATTGAGCATACTTATCAGCACTATATGTTGTCTTCACTCGAATGAAATAAGCTGATTTCGTCAGTCTATCAACAATAACCAGATAGAATCATACCCCTTAGTAGTGTGAGGTAACCCGGTGACAAAGTCTATTGTGATATTTTCCCATTTCTACTCTGGTATTTCTAACCTTTGGTGTAGCCCAGCTGGCTTCTGGTGTTCTCCTTAACTTGCTGGCATGTCAAACAGCGTGAGATAAAGTCTACCACATCCTTTTTCATGCCATCCCACCAATACAATTGTTTCAAATCTTGATACATTTTAGTTGCTCCTGGATACACGGTATATGCAGAATGATGAGCCTTTTCCATGATAAATCACTTCAAGTTTTCCTCTTGTGGTACGCAAATTCTAGCCTTACACTTTAATATTCCTTCCTGGTCAATTTTAAACTCAGTGTTACTTCTAGCTATGACTGCTTCTTTTAACTTGCATAATTTTGGATCTAAAAATTGAGTGCTCTTAATTTGATCCATTAAAGAAGAACGAGCTTGTATATGAGCCAGAAATGCTTCCTTATCAATAACCTCAAACTTGACTCTACTATGCTCAAGTTTATGAATTTCTTGTACCAAAAGCCTCCTTGTCAAAATTATATGTGCTAAGCTACCCATCGACTTTCTGCTTAAGGCATCAACCACCACATTTGCTTTGCCAGGATGGCAAACAATTGTACAGTCATAATCTTTCAGCAACTCCATCCATCTTCTTTGTCTAAGATTAAGATCTTTTTGTTCAAAAATGTACTTAAGACTCTTATGATCCGTATAAATTTCACAGGTCTCTCTATAAAGATAGTGATGCCAAATTTTTAACGCAAAAACAACTGCTGCCATCTCTAGGTCGTGGGTTGGGTAGTTCTGCTCATGTTTCTTAAGTTTCCTTGAGGCATAAGTAATAACTCGTCCATGCTGTATTAGAACACAGCCTAGACCCACACGAGAAGTATCGCAATAAACTGCATATCCTCCATTGCCTGATGGTAAACTCAAAAGTGGTGCCGAAGTTAAACACTCCTTGAGCTTTTAAAAATTGTCTTCATACTTGTCATCCCATTCAAACTTTACATTCTTCTGAGTCAACCTTGTCAGTGGAGCAGCTATTTTAGGGAAATCCTTGACAAAATGACGATAATATCTTGCAAGACCTAAGAAACTGCGAATTTCTGTAACAGTCGTCGGTCTTGGCCAATTTTACACCGCTTCTACTTTGCTTGGAGCCACTTGAATACCATCTTTAGAAACTACATCTCCTAAGAAAGTAACTTTATCAAGCCAAAATTCACATTTAGAGAACTTGTCATAAAGTTGTTGCTCCCTCATTGTCTGTAAAACAATTCACAAATGATGTTCATGCGCCTCTGGGCTCTTTGAGTATATCAAAATATCATCAATAAAAACAATCACAAACTTATCAAGAAACAGTCTAAACTTGTTTTCAAGGTGCGTTGGATATCCTATAAATTTGTTTTGGATATCCTATACTAATAAGTGAGGCAATGTCTCTCCTAAAACATTTTTTCAACAACAAAAAAATACTTTCATTGGTTATCTATTAACTTTGCCATTCTTTGCTAACATGACATGTGTATGGGCCTATGCATAGCAAAAGGTAGGACTCTCACCATATTTTTTATGCTAATTTACCCTTAAATATTTTTTTAGGAACGTTGGGCACCTTAAGTTTTGTTAAAATAAAAGGGTTTATTTTTATTCTTGATTTTTTTGGAAAAGCACTAGGAACTTTATATTAAATTTAATAAATACTGTTAAAATATAAAATATTTTAATATTTAATAATTTAAATATTATTTATGAATATTTATCCAAAATTTATAAATTATTTTTAAAATATTAACTATTCAAACTTAAAAAAAAACAGGAAGCATAATGGCTCTTAAGGGTTATGGCCCCAACCTGTCAATTTTTCTCTAATATTCTTTCAATTTCTTTATAGAGATTAAACTTAATCACTATATGCAATGTGCATTTTAATGTCAATCCTATTAAGGGATGTTAATGAGGGAAGAGTGAAGACAAGAAAAGAGTTAAAATCCAAGGACCCATTTGGTTCACTGGAATTTTGATTCAAGAAAAGAAAAGAGAATGGAATTTCACATTTTCTTAGGTTTTGGTTAATATCAAATTGAACCCTTAGGAAATGATTTTCAAGGAAGAGAGTGGAAATTTCCAGAGTTAGGCCTATGAAAAATATAATTTTCTTGGGAAATTATCTTTACTGACTAAAATGTCCTTCACTTTTTCTTAAATCTCCTTGGTGAGCCATGTGCATAATCTCCTTCACATTTTCAGACTCTACTGTCACCTCCTTTAGATCTTCGACGTCATCTTCGACCTCCTCTATCGACCTTTGCACCATTCTCTCTTATCTCCATTATTGTGTTCTTCTTTGATGGTGTGATTTTGTTGGATATTATAGAATATCTTTAGTATTTCAAAAGGAGTTAGTATGAATTAAATTAATATTAATTACCATAACCCCCTATTTAAATATATTTATTTAACCTTTTTATTTTTTGTAACTATTTTTTAATTGTTCTTAAGGTGATTTTATTGCCTAGTATTATAAGATCTGCTTATAAAAGGCAGTGCTTGCCACATGTTCTGGAGGAGCTTTTATGCTCTTAGCCTTTCCCTCCTCTTTTATCATATTGCTTCGTTGTGCATATACATGAGGTTATTTTATGAATTTTTGCTGTTCTGTGTCCCTACTTTCAGTAGGAAGAATTTATTTAATTTTGAGGAGTTACCGCTTATCAACCCAGTGTAGCGAAATAACTTGGGCACGACTCAGACTATAATTTTTCTCTCGACGCCAACAATCTTAAGAGCTATCGGCTACTGATTAGGATCATAATATGAAGTGTAAAACTTAAAAAAAAGGGCATGTTGATATTGAGGTTTTTCATGACTTTCTTGGCTCACACCAACATATCTTTCCAATGTGTAATTAAGCAGGTATGAAAAGTTATGATTCTAGTGATTTCTAGAATTTGCTTTTAGTGGTTTCGAGCCATCATTTAAATTGATGTGTGTGTTGGGGGGCATGGCTACTTGAAAATTATTGTGTTTTAGTATTGAGAATATTATGGAACATTGACTAAATGTTGGCAGAAAGATAGCGTCAGGGTTTCCTATGGCTATTAAATCTAGAAATGATTGTGTTCTTGTTGAATATACAGACATGTAAAACACAATTACTTGAATCTATACTTATTTCGTAGAGCAAGTTTTGTTTATTTTGTGAAAAGGAATTATTTTGAAATGCATTAATGCATCCTTATATATAATCAAGTACAACACCTGAAGCTTTTTCTTATATGATGGTTAAATATATCATATGGAACATGATGATGAATAATTATTTGATATGGGTGTTTTGTTAAAACTACTATATGATTTGAATTTTCTGTGTGGAATGAAAGCATTGGTTCTAGGTTGAAGAAGACATCCCTTTGCAATTTCCTTTTGTAATATATTTAGTATATATCAATTGATGAAGTTTTTTAAAAAATAAATATTTGTAAATTAACTTGATGTTATATCCAATGTGGAACATTAATAAACCATCAATTTTGGAATATTATAGCATTAACTCAAGGGATGGCATAAAAGCGTAAGTAACCATTCACTACTTTATTAAGACATTGAAGCAATAGCACAAATAGCTTTGGTTATATATTAATTTCATTGATTGGTTTTTATAATACTAATAATAAATAAATGCCATTATAGTTGTTGATTGTTCTTGGGAGCAAGTATTTAATCTGTAATATATATTATGATTAATAATATTGATAAAAGGGGCTTTGATTTTGGAATGGAGAAGTTGACCTTGGCTAATAAAGGTG